TGTCTTTTTTCTTTTTTTTTTTTTTGTCTTGTCTTTTTTGAAATCCAGCCAAAGTCCCTTGTCTCCTCAGGTTTCTGGGCTTTTGGCCCTACTGCCAAAAAATAGTTTGGTGAGCTTTATAAGAGGTCACAGCCTCTGTATAGTTCTTTCCTTAGGTCCATTTTAACTATTTTTTAGCTAGAGCTAGGGATCTTTTATATATTGAAACAGAAATGAACATACACAATTCATGATAGTCTTAAAACAACCCCTCTTCCCACCTCTAAATATCTGTTGAGGGACAACAAATACTCTCTGCATTGCTTCGCCTCGCTTCCTTGTTTCTCCAGCAGTCCTGTATTTTAACTTTATGTAATCATACAATAAACCTCTCATACACAAGGCCACAAACAATATTAAAAAAGGCAGCCTGATATCTTTCACAAACAATTTCACATTTAATATGCAATGTTATGCTGGGAAATTGATCTGTGTGCATTTAACTGCCACAACAAAGAGACAGGACTGGTGTATTTTAAAGCTGCTTATATTGGTCAGCAAGGCAAGAACTGCTTCTGAGCAGACAAGTAAGTGAAATTACAAGTCTAAAAGAATAGCAAATATATTTAAATCCAGACCAGTACCCAGCACCTCTTCATGCTAATAATAATTCTGGAAGCTTATCTTATTAAAAAGGTAGACAGTCCTAAATAACTTTGCTAGAGGAAAAACCCATATGCAATGAACAGAACAACAAATAAATCCTGCACAACCCACCAGAACTCAACTACTTTTCCAAGGCAGCACAGGATCAATCAAGTCGTACACATACACTGTAAAGCTGTATCCTGAACTTTCATTCCACATGGCCTTCACTACTGTGGAGATGTATCTGTGGAGAACATTGACCTGGAGCAGCACTATTAGCCTGGGCTCACCTGTCTGTCTGTGGTTATATCAAGAGACATAATAAAGCAGCTTAAATTCCTCCAAAAGCCTTTCAATAACCTCATGCTATTGGCCGTTTATTAGTTGTGCCTGATCTGATATTAGTGTCTAACTTTATTGTCACATAAAAAGACTTAGAATACTAAAAGATACACAAGGTACTCTTGCCAAAGCCAGTTAATACAGATATTCAAATTACAAGTACACACACAAATTCTATCAAGAGTGTAGGTTAAAACTAAGGCTGTTTGACTTCCTTGGCCATATGCTCTGCATGGATACTTGTATCTGGGTATATAGGACTATACAAATGGAATGAGTACTGTACAGAGAAAACCCCTGGCAGTTCAAGCGCAAAGCAGGTCAGACTGTTGCTGAAACAGAGAAGCAACAAATTATTCCTAGAGACAGGCAGGGTGCCAGGAATTAACTGACTGAGCAGTCCAGGTGCTGAACATGTTATCCAGTGGGGTTTCACAGTGCAGTTTCAAAACCTATTCATGGTATAGGTCCCAAGGAAGAGTCTCTGAGATACTATTTCTTACAGTTAGTGCTGTGGGGGTGCAGCTTACACACAGTAGTATAACACAGGGCAAGCAAATGGGGACATGTATCCCAGGCGCTGCCTAATGGGAAAGGCACCAGAAGGATAGGGGAGCTCACCCATTGGTGCAGCTTACCTCTGCTGCCTACATCTATGATACGTATTGCTGGAGCAAGGCATTCTAGGAATCATTGTTCTGTAGAGCAGCAGCAGAGTTGGCTGCTGCTGGAGGGGGAGAACTAACCTCCATTTTTTGCAGCCAAATTCAGTATTATTTTTTTGCCCTCTGGACTTTGGTTTTAGGGGGGAAAAAATGGGGGGAAAAAAAACACACAGGGTAAAAGATTTCCCTGGCAGCAAACTCCACTGGCAGTCTAGAGAACCGTGATTCCCAAAATGTCTTGCACTCCATGACACACATTGCCTAGTTCCTGGGCCTGCAATGGAAAAGGTAGGGGAGGAGGGAGTGGAGAGAAAGGATGAAAGATGCCTAGGGTGACTTTTTTCCACTCTATACCTCTGTTTACATTCCCTCCCTTACAGGGCACTGTGTAGAAAGGCCTAATCTAGCCCATTATTAAAAGAAAGTTGAAGTTACTCTGGTAAAAGTACTCAAATGTCAGGAAATTATTTTTTTTCCTTAGACATACCTTCAACTTCTTAAGACTTCCCCTTATTCTTAAATCCTTTGACCCAAATTCAACAAAGAAAATGAAACAAACCAAGCACCCAACACCCCCCACCCCCCCCACTGCTGTAAATTATGAAATCCAAGTAAAAAAAAGAACCCCCCCCCCCCCCCCCCCCCCCCCCCGAACAACAACAAGTTTCCTATTTTGGTAACTAACTGAACTGATCTGGTATTGCAAACAACTTACATTTGTGAATCTTAACAATCAAACTTTGAAAACAGCTAAGGTCATTCCCCTCATTGTGAAGGAAATGCCTTCAAGCCCTATATTAAAAACACTCCCATATAAAGAGGAAAAAGTCAAGTAAACAAATAGAGCTGAACTTGCAACTCTCAGGTAGGCTGAGATGGGTTTTACTAAATCATTTCTTCTGGAGCTGTTCTATACTCCCCCCCGCCTCTTTTCTGTTGCACGTCACTGTGTTTTGAAGCCTTCCCGGAGACATTGGGTGTTGGCTATAGCCAAGGCTGGGAACTTGGCCTTGGACCAAAGCCAGAGGTTCCTAACCCTCTGCTCATGGTAAGACCAATCACCATATTTGCAGTCACAAAGCAATTTTACCCCACGGTCAGATTCATATGGACTGTGGAGGTTTTTGCCTTCCTCTGTGTCAGGGGGCAGGGCCCTCGACCTGGGATTTCTTGAGCATATATTGACAACATCTTATAGAAGCAACACATTGACTGCTGTGGTTCTCCTGCTTTACCTGTGGCAGGTCAGGGTGTTAGATCTGTGTTGTGTCAGGGTTGACGGTAGTCTTACATACAGTTTAGATTACAGCTTACATGGGATGGCTTGGGTAGACACGATCCTGCCTCAGGCAGAAGGTTGGACTGTAAGGCCTTTCAAGGTCCCTTTCAACCCTAATTTTCTATTAACCTATTTTGCACAAAATAGCTGCACAAACATTCATTGAGCCAGAGAGGGAGAGAAAATTACTTTGCAGTCTGATGGTTAGGGCAGTCTCCTAGGAAGTGTGTAATGAGGGTCCACCATACCTGAGGCTAAGCAAGGAACTCAACCTTAATTTCCAAGATCCTGTGGGAGTGCCTCAACCACTTGACTACTGGATAAGCAGAGACACCAAATCATTCTCCTCCAGGTTTTAAATCTAGCTCTGAAATGCTTTCCCCAGGCAAACTGTCCGACAAATTCAACCTAAATCCATAAAGCTGAAAAAGGCCAGTGTGCCCTAGTGTTGAGAATGGTGGTAAAAAGAAACCTCATGAGCACAACTGGTAGGCTTTACTTATGCATTTAGGGGTAAATGATTTGGAGTCAGAAAGGAATTTCCACTCCAGGTCTGATTGACAAGGACTCTTTGGTTTGGGTTTTGGGGAGGGGGAGGTAAGGAATTGATTGTTTGTTTTGCATTCCCCTGTAGCGGAGTGATGAATCCTAGAATAATCTGAGCGTATTTCATCTGAAAAATATCCTGCTATTGCAGGGGCCAAAGGCTTTGGTGGTGTCTTCAGCTCTTCCGCTTTATTCCTGTGGTACATTGTTATTCCTTTGCACAGGTTCTTGCAACTGTAGGGGACTAGATTCAATAATGAGGAAGGTCCCTTCTAGTGGCATAACCAGAGAGGGAGTAACCAGGGCAGGAAGGTATGATAAGGGCAACTGTCCTGAACACCAAGTTTGTGGGGCAGAAGCCACTACACTGCTTTGCTCCAAGCACCCAGCTGTGCCCCTATGCTGCTAGTTCTACGCTACATTGGTAGAAATATTTTTGACACAATCAAAATGGTGGGGAGGAGGCAGGATTGTGCTAAAATGATTCACTGAAAGAAAAAAAGTGGTATAATCTGTTCATCAGAACTCCAATCCTATCTTATATTTGGTTTATAGTTAGCATATGAACCAATACACATGCTTACACAAAATCCACCTTTAGAGCTTGAAATGAAACGGGAATCTGGTAAGGGCCACTGCAAAATTTTTTTTCTCTCGTTAGTGAAAAGAAAGTGCTGCAACATTTTAACATAATTTTTACCTAGCACACAACTGATCTAAATCCCTTAGTCCATATCTTATAAAAGTTTTAAGAGTTTACTCTATAATGAATCATTTTCCTTAAGAGAAAAACCCAAACCAGTTTTTTTCCCCATGAACTGAATTCAGCACAGATTGCTTTGGTAGCTTTGTAGGATTCCCTACCCATCTTGGCCCTGAGCTAGACTTAAAAAAAAAAGGGAAAAGCAGCAGCACATCTAGTAGCTTGGAATCTGTGGACACAACTCGTTATTTGTGCTTCAAGGTGATATTTGAAGGATCTGTATACAATATACACTTCCAGTACAAAATTATGAGAACCTCTGTCACTGTCATAATATACAGTTCATCATAAAAGGGGGAGTGAGAAAGCAAGATCCAAAAGATGATCCATTTCACAAACTGCAAACAAATTCAAAAGCATCTATTCATTTAAATAAAGGGGGGGGGGGAAGAGACATACAAGGCTTGCCTACCTCAAGGGGAATCAAAATTATTCATCCAATTAAAAGCAGGAAAAAGCCCCCAAATTACATTATCTAATCTTGAAATATTATATCCAGAAATGATGGTCCCCAATTAGTTAGCTTTATTAAAACTGATTTATTTTTAACTATCTTGTAAAATGATCTAGTTTATAAACAAAGTTAAACTATTGTAATTCATTTTGTATTGACATCAGTACAAGAATTTTATCACTGCAATCATTTGAAGCTTTAGAGATAAAGGAAAGAAACCACTGCCTGAGTAACAGCCTCTAATGAAGTCTCAGAAATATTCAAGACTGTAGATTCACTGCCATTACTATAACATGGTTCAAAAACCTCTAATGTGTTTTTCAGCCAAGAAGTACTCACAGCCTACTAGCAATAAAGAAAGACTTTTTCTCATGGGTAAGTTTACTAAATGAAAATGTATCCCTCTATGCTTGGCCAGAACTAAAATGTCAAGAGTGGAATGAATTCCCACAGGAAGTAAGGTTCTGTACAAATGTCATCACCTTCTGTTCTAAGTTCAAGGCACATTTCTTCAAACTTTTCGTTCTAATACAAACACAGAGCTGCATGTGCCTAAAACAAATAAATATTCTAACCCCTCATGGAAAGAAGGAGGAAACCTACAAATAAAACAAAGATTATGGATGCAGTCTAAGCCCCCCCCCCCAACCCCCCCCACAAAACAAAAAATCTACCCCAAACACATGATCCTTTATCTTGGACTAAAGGATCAAATAGAAATGAGTCACGTGTGACACGTTAGGCTTGCTTGACTGGTAGGTCAATCCAAAGCAAGAAGTACTGTATAAGAAATCGTAAAGGATGATAATATATAGAACAGAATCAGGGGAGAACTGCTCTGAAAACTTAATTTCATTATTTTGAGACACATTTGGCCAAGTATTGATACACAGTTGCCAACATAAAAAGCTATTTTAAGACAGCATAATTAAAAACTCTTATCTCAGTAATTGCAGTTAACAGAGGGTTGAGCCAAAGACTATGCCCCAGTTTTAATCATAAAAGTATTGCCTAATATTATATGAACCCCACCTTGCTAACTAAAGAAGGGTCCATTAAAGAAAATTTGCTCTACATCAATCAGATTTGGTCAAAGACTGTTAAAGAAGACACCAGGGTTGAAAGACAAGGTCAATAATCTGATGGCAAAAGTAAGTGTTGACTAGGCCAGATACTTTTGGCAGTTTTGCAACATGTATTGCTGTCAACATCTTCCTGTTGTGCAAGTATTACTAGACCCTGACACTTCATATTAAAACCCCCTCATTTTCTTGTGCTTTCATTAAAACCCTAGGAGGGTGGAAAGGATTAAAGACCATCCTTTAACTTTGAAGATCACAAATTAATTTTGATCTAAAAATCCTTAAGGAAATCTTGGTAGTTGCATCCTAGCCCTCCGGATATTGGTGTCACAAAGATTAGTTAGAAAGGATTATATACACAGTATCTAACTGTACCTTGCCTGGAATCAGAGAGCTCCTCAAGTAATGCTGATAAAAGGGGACAGGAGTTCTATAAATTATTTATAAAGGCTACCATTTAATTCTCTCTCTCTCATGCATATAAAGACTATCCAGTTTGGATTAAAAAGGACTAGTAATCAACTAGTAATCAGGATTTTTTGTTCACAAAAAAAATCTAATCCAATTTTTAGAAGTGTCGCACTGTAGCAGACTTTAAATTAAAAAAAAAGTTGGGTCAAGAGTTTTGTAAGTATTTACATATCAGCTATGTTTGTACCCCCTTCTCCCTCTCTCCTCATATCTTTCTCACGATCAGCTTGCTCTTGCTTTACTAATGTTTATGTTCTTTCTTTTATTTAGTTAAAGTGATTGTCATCTGCATGTTAACCTGGAGTGCAGAGTGTAAACCTTTGCAAGCAACAACACACCTATTCCTACTTGGATGTTTTATATGGGGAATAGTTATATAAAGAAGTACAGGAAATTAAAATTTCCCCGGAAAGACCTTGCCCTGTACAACAGCAACAATGAATTTTGCAAGACTGTGTGCCACCGTAGGATATTTAGAGTTTAAGCGTAAGCTTTAATTCTGCATAGCACAAAGTCCAGAGTCCACATCTGTGCAATCCATGCATGTCCTATTTGAGTGGGTTCCTGATTTGCCAGCTCATAAATAAAGTGCTTAAAAGAAGATGAATTTCATTCAATCCCCAGAAGAGTTTACTGTAAATTCTAGTGACAGATAAACTAACAAGGGCAAGGAAAATGGTTAGGAAGCTGGGGCACATGACTTCAGAGGAGAGGCTGAGGGAACTGAGCTTATTTAGTCTAAGGAAGAGGAGACTGAGGGGGGATTTGATAGCAGTCTTCAACTACCTGAAGGTGGGTTCTAAAGATGGTGGAGCAAGACTGTTCTCAATGGTGGCAAATGAAAAAACGAGGAGCAATAATGGTCTCAAGTTGCAACAAGGGAAGTTTAGGTTAGATATTAGGAAATACTACTCTCCTCATGGGAGTGTTAAGACTGGAACAGGTTACTCAGAGAGGTTGTGGAAACTCCATCCTTGGGGGCTTTTAAGACCTGGCTAGACAAAGCTTTGGCTGGAATGATCTAGTTCGAGATGGTCCTGCTTTGATCAGGGGGTTGGACTAGATGACCTCCTGAGGTCCCTTCCAACCTAATTTCCTATGATTCTGATACCAAGCTGTGTGATAGACAGCAATTTTCAAGTTGGACATTAATATGGGCCACTATCCAGCTCTACAATCACCTCCAGCAGTGCTGTTAAACCGTATTCTATGAAGTAATGTAGCTACACTAAGGATAGCCTGCAAAAAGGAGAAGAGCTCTCGCATTACATTCTGACAACTATTACTTGAGTTAAGTGAGATTTTCCAAATTCAGATGGGTACATAAGCATGTTCGACAGTTCTGGGATGGTAATATTTATAATTACATATTTCTGCTTCAAGTGAAGGTGGATACTACTATTTTTCTATTACTGAGCAGTTACTAATATCAAAGTAAACATTCCACAGCCACCCATGGCTGTTTCCCAGGCCTTGAGTCACAAACTACACAAAGCTCAATTTCTATACCAAACATATGAGAACAAAAGATGTTCAGAGCACCCTTTGATGTCAGGGCTAGGAAGAGTTCTTTTTTAAGGTTACTGACAGCCTCTGCTTCCCTGTTCCAAGGGAAGTCCCAATTGCTACTGTCTAGGTCAAAATATAAACAAAGTCTCTCATCTTCAATTATAAAAAAGGGAACAAGGGCAGTCTGCAGACATGCCAATTTAAGATCTCACCCTATGCACTCTTATAGGCATGCAGGAAGTTAACTTTTATGTGCAGGTCAGAGTTCCCCAGGAAAGGAAATAGGAACAGATCCATAGAACAGTATGCAAGCAGAGTCTACACTCACCAACTTAACCCCCACCCTCTTGCAGCTTTACATCTCACCCTCATGCCTCAAATCCAGCTCACTCAAACTTTTTCATTTTTTTGTACTTTACAGCTATTCTCAAAAGCAGGCTCAGAATAGGTTGGCCTACTTCAGAGCCACTAGAACATCATTCTGTAGTTTCCAAAGGCCACAGATACAATATGGTGGCCAGGCCACGGACCTACTATACACAAAATATTACAGTGAACTGCTTGAGGGAGTTAGTTGTACCATCTCTCTGGAATATAAAGACACTGTTATGCAAAGAGCCTAGTACATATATCAGCAGAGAACTTGAAAAGTTGTGCTGGAAGAATGCAACACGGTGGATAAAAAGCACAGTTCTCGTAGGAAAATGGGAAGAGGAGACTGGGAAAATGCCTCTTTCAAAAGATGCGATACGTGTTTAATTTATCATGCCATTCCTAGATATCAACAGGGTGCCCGTTTAAAGTTTTTTAAGGGTGGTGTTTGATACCAGACTCATCCTTCTGTCCACCTTATTCAATTTAAGTTTGTTCAAAAGAAAGCAAGCTGACTATTAAAAGCAAAAATACATTCATGATGTTATTTATAGGCATTTATTGTCTAGAAATTAAAGTCCACAGATCTACCAATAAACATATAGAGAGAATTTGTAATTACTGTAATAGCAAAGTCTTCTAGATATAAT